AAGTAATGTTGATCTCACATGCCTTGTGAAGATCTTTCTGATTATCAAAAATAGCTATAATTTTGAGGTAACCTGTTAAGTATTCAATGCACATGTTTTAAGAAGTGCAGCCCTGCCATTTTTTGTTTAATAAAATTAATTTTTTCCTTGTGTGACTGCCTTGGGACTAGGTTTGAATCGATAAGAACTTTTTCAGATCTTTTAGTCTGTAAGTATATTATATCTTTAGTTGATCCTTGTTTATTCCTTTGAATCTCCTTTTTGTAACTAAAAGCTACCTATTCAGTAATATTTAAAGAGAAATTCTAGGCTGGTTGTATAAGAAAGTTAGAGTTACTAATAATAATGGTGGTGATAGGAATTGATGGTTTTGTTTGTTCTATTGCTTTTGCTGGCTCTATTGTTTGGATTGAAGTCTTGATTTCCATCTTATAGTCTGATTTAATAATTATTGCCTTCTTCTTTTCTTTCTCTATCACTTTTTCTGATATCTTCTTTTGGATTATTGATCTTATATCAAATAGGATGTGTCTGAACTGAGTAATAGGGTTGTTGCCTTAGATTTTATAATTCTTACATTGTTTCTATCATTCTGTTTTCATTATAATCCAGTATTGTTTGCTTATTGACACTTCTAATTTCTCGTGAGGTGGCTATATTTTCTTCACAGTGGCTACTTAATAGCAGGGAACAAGTTGGTTTTTATATAATTGCTTAATAAAGAAATTTTTAGTAATTTAAAATTTTTTAGGAAAGTGTTTTTTTTTTATAATAGATTATAATAATCTTAAATATGATATGATATATATATTATCTATTTTGATACTATAATCTATGTTATAAAAATTAAAACATGATATATACTTGAAATAATTATAAATTTTTTTTTTTGTATACTCATAGCTAGGCTAGATTGTCAGTTTACTAATCAATTAAAAATATAAGTACATTTTTATTTGAGCAGCATAATACATACTACAGTTAAACTTTTATCATAATTTAACTAACTCATTATAAGCATAATACCTTTAAGTTCAGTCTTAGGAACAAAATTTCGCTTCACAGTGTTTTAGGGTAATGATCCTCCTAGTATACTACATTATTGCCAGCAGGTTATCACTGCCGTATATCTAATCAAGCCACTGGAATACAGAAAACTACAAAAAGATATGTTGAAAAAAAGGGAAAGAGAGATATCTAAAATGTCTAAGCAGACAACAAGAAAACAAAAAGATAAAAATTGAAAAAAAATATCTTTAGCTTTCTCTAAAGACTTACTTCTCAAGATCTCTTCTCAATAAGAAATACTTGATTAAGATATTCTTTCTTTTTCTGATTATTTAAAAAACTTATCCATTCTTGATCTTGATTTCTTTCTCAAGTATTATCTAAAAAGATTTATCCCCTAGTGGGAGCCTTTACTTCCAGAACACACTTGGTTTTAATCTTCTTTGGACAATGATTTTTTATTTACCTGCAATGAAAAGATAACTTATGATGGATCCCAGATTCTTATGTAACCTAATAGAAACTGGGTCATGTTGTTTCAATATGATATCTTCTAATAATCACACCTAGTTAAAGGAATTTTACTGGTGTATATCATTCATTGTTCAAAATAATTATTTGCTAAAAATCTTTTTGTTTTACAATAGTGGGAGGGTATCAGAAAAGCAGTTGGAATCCTTATCAATTGCAATATCCTTCAACAACTTTTGGGAAAATATATTCTCAACTATAATCAAAGAGTTAAAGCTTAGTATAGACTAGAAACTATTCAGTCTTATTACCTGACCGGAATAAAAAGAGACCTTGATCTTGAACTTTGTCTGACCAGAATAATAGGAGAGAAAGACCTCAACTTGAAAAAATAATAGCTTTTTCACCATTTAGGAACTTGTTACTCATATCTTATTAATCTTATGATACTTGATCTGTAGATTAACCTAATTGGAGAAGTGGGTAGACACAGGTCATCATCAACTTTTTCTATCACCAATGACATTATCGGAACATATAAAGTAACTAGTAAAAGCTTGTTTACATTCAGTTACTAATGTATTTCATGTCAATCAATCAAAATCCTGGTGACCTTGTGCTACTAGAAATTCAGGATCAAACTGAAGTAGGTAAAATTCTCCAAGAAAAATAATAAAAACAGTAAATACTTTAAGAGATCTAGAAAAGCTTGAGAAAATGAATAATAAGCATTCCCCTGCTAACAAAACCTTTATTTCTATTACTTCAGTTCTGAAAGGTAATACTTCACTTGTCAATTATTTTACTTTTTAGAATCTTCTTGCCTTAGTAGAAGAAGTGCATACTTGGGTCATTTCAGGTCACTAGAAACCCAAGTTTTTATTCAAAGGAGTTTATAAATAAGTAGGGGAGAATAAGAAAGATACATGAAGACAAGCTTCAGGTTGTTTTAGTAAAAGTGTAAAGACTTTATTAGCAAAAAGGTATAAAACTTCTTGCAAACATCTTTTTTGTGTGTGGTTAGAGAATTAGCAGAAAGAGTTTGTATGTCAATTTATTATAATTATAATTTAATTTAAATAAAATAATTATAGTTTATATATATTTTAATTATTTCATTAATAGTAACAAAAAGGATTTTTTTAAAGTTTAAGTAAAGTAAAAAAACTATCTCAATTAGACAAATTTTATTTTTAGATTTTTTAATAGATCTAGAATTGCCTTTTTTTTTTAATTATTTTCTTTCTTTTTTCTTAATTTAACAATTCATTAGTTTTTAAGTTAATTAATAGTATCAAATTGTTAAAAATAATCTTAATAAATGATAGTTAATTTAATATATTAGGAGAATATAATATTGTTTTCAAAATTAAACTTAAAATATTTTACATAATAATGAGTTAATTATTTTATTAATATTTATAAATTATAAGATTATTTTTTCAATTTCTTAATAAAGACAAGTTATTATAACATAATTATAAATTAACAAAAAAAAATAAAGTCTAAACAAAAAGATTTTATAATAATTTTAATAAAGAAGATTATATATGAAATAAAGTAATTGAATTTTAATTTTTATTAGAATTTAATGAAATAATCTGCAATAGTAATTTGTAAGTAATAATATTAATAGGTAAAATGATTTTTATTTGATCTATTAATTGAGTAATAAATTATATTTATTTAGAATTTTGTAATTAAGATAAATATTAACGAATCAAAAAGAAATTTTTTTTAATAAAATAAATTAAAATGATTCAAAAATAGGCTTAAATAAAATAGTGATAATCAATATATTATATTTAAAAATATCAACGTTACTATTTTTATTTTATATTTTATATTCTATAATAATAATTATTAAAGAAATAATTATTTAAAAAATACTTTTTTATCGTGGATTTTAGATAAATTATTGTTTGATATTATTTAAATTGTTGAATAATATAAAAAAATGTTTATCATTATTTAAATATCAAAAATCATTTTACTATAAATCAAATATACTGTATACTATATATACAGTATATACTGTATTTATTTATTTATGTAACGATAATAATGATAATCCAAATTACCTTAAATAGACTTTTTTTCATAACAAATTATATTTTCAGGCACGTGATTTTAAATGATATGGTCAAAATGATTTATCCTTTATTAGAAGGATTTACAGTATAGAACCTTTTCACACCGCAATTCATCTTTGGCATATTATCACATGTGAATCTAACTCGCCAATAAGGTACTGCGGAGCATTGATAAACCAAATTATTATTATACAGTATGTATCATATCCAGTGTATGGAAATTTTATCAATATTGGAAAGCGCCGATTAATACGAGTTCGATAATTTTTTAAACCTGACACGTCCACGGTTTACCAGTATTTTCATCCTTAAATGAATACGTTATTTTTTCATCAACAGCTTATAAAGCATATGTGGACATGCCTAGAAATGATTTCCATTGTACTTATTAACCCACGGACCAACTAACCAATGGCTAGTCGACCCAATGAACTTTAAAAAAAGAAAATTTGTCACTCTCCTTAACGCCCAGTGGTTTCACGCCCAAGTGATAGAGATTAACCTTACCTAATCTTACTAATGCATCAACGAAGGTCCAGTGTTTTTATTGAGCGAAATTTTATTCTAAAAACAGAGTCATTCATATATGTGCAAATATGGTTACATCTGGTGACCATATTAGGAAGTCGAAAAGGATTTACTTTACGTTCAGCTTAATTAATATAATGGATGCAACGCGGTGTTTGTGGTATCGGAATAAAGTGCAACGCCGATTCAGGATTCATTTAATCTCAGAGTTTCACATTGCATCGTCCAAAACCATTGGCGAAACTCGCCTCCCTCCTTAAGCCTCGGAAGATCCGTTCCCACATTTATCATCGGAAGGCTATGTTTGTGTTTCTTGTTTTCCCTGTAAATTTGATTATGTTATAGACAAGAGAGTCATGCGGGAGACTGTAATAGGATAGAGATTTTGGAAATTTGATTCTAGTGGTGCTGGAAATATCGGCTTTCGGGATTATTGATTCTTGCGGACAATCAAGTCGATTCTTGGATTGTGGATGCAGACTGCCTTAATTTCATACTGTACGTGTACGCGAATCGCGCATCGGATTTTAGTCAAATGCGGTAATCGCTTCGATCTATTTATTTATTAGATACATTATAGTTTCATGTCGATGAGAGAGCAAGAGAATGGTATAAATACGTGTATCGTGTGTTGGCGTTTGGACAAGAAATCTCAGTTCAAAGAAAAACTTTGCATTATCCACCCTCATTACATTCTTTTTATTAAACAACAAATCCTACATTACAATCATGGGTTTATTATACGCGACCTTCAGTGGCATTCAGACTACTGATATCTTGACCGGTTTACTGACCCTAACTTGTCTATACGTGATCCATTTCTATTACAAACACTTCACTCGTGTCAATCCATTTCCTGGCCCGCTACCAATTCCGCTGATCGGTAGTTTTGCAATCTTTATGGAGGACATTGACGATTGGTTCCATAGATTAAACAAGGCTTACGGACGTAATGGCATATATGAATTGAACATTGCTGGCAACCGACAAATCGTTGTGACTCGCGCCGAGTACGTCGATAAATTCTTGGTCACCGAAACTTCTTCGCATGTCATGAGAACCGCGAACAATGGTCTATTAAGTTTATTTGACCTTGAAAACAAAGGGGTAGGATTGAATCATGATTACAAATATTGGAAATTCAATCGTCATCTCTTCTCGCAAGCCATCATGCCACTAAGCTCAACCGAAAAACCCAGCGACATTTTGAATCCACTGATCGAAGAGATGTCAAATTACTGGGTCGATTTGAAGCGACCGGGAGACGATGGAGCCATCATCGACATATCCATTTGGATGCGTCGATTCACAGCGGATTTCATATCTTTGTTGACGACCGGGAAACGAATGGCTATCATGGAACATTACTGTAAGAAATTAAAGAACGAGCCGATAACCAAGGAGATGATCGATTCCGAAGAGTTTTGCGAAAGCATACACACTTTTATGTCCGATAATCAGGTTATATTCGTGCCAAAAATCCTGAGAAGCTTTCCTTTGATTAAACATCGCATAGATTATCTGCTAGGAAATTGCAATAAGTTCTATGGTAGATTGGTGGACATCATCAGGAAAAGGAGAAAAGAGATCGATGAAACTATCAAGAGTGGTGGAAAATTAGACACGAAACGGATGGATCTACTTACATCTTTGATCCTCGCTAACACAAAATACGACCCTCATCCTCTAAAACATATTGATCCCTCGTTGGCAAGACCCATGACTGATGATGAAGTCCGTGGTGTCATGTTTGACGCGTTTGTTGCCGGCACAGATACTGTAAGTGGTATACCGTAAATTGCGCATTTATGATTTTTGATTAATCACGCGTTGACGCATAATAACAATTTATTTATTTATTTATTGGATTTCTAGACTGTAAATACCTTTTGTTTCGTAGTATACTACCTCTCACATAACCCCGAGGCCAAAAAGAAATTGTTGGAAGAGATCGACACGGTTTTCAAAGATGACCCGAACAAACCAGTCACCTTGGAAGTTCTTGAACAGTTAAAATATACGGAAGCGATAATTAAAGAAACGTCAAGAATAAGACCTACAGTCAGCATGGTTTCAAGATATAGCAGTAAACCCGATGAGATAGCCGGACACAAATGGCCAGCCAATCAATTGTTTATTATGTACGTTCGTGGAATCAATAACAACCCACTTTATTGGAAGGAACCCGAAAAATTCATTCCGGAAAGATTCCTCCATCCTGAAGAGATACAGAAAAACTCTTTCTCGATGTTTGGTGGGGGTTCGAGAATGTGTCTGGGCAGAAAGATCGCAATCATCGAATTAAAAACGTTGCTGGCCTTGGTCTATAAAAGTTTTGATGTCGAATTGGTTGATATGCAGGCACCTCTTAAGGTCGAGACTTCGACAATTACGGTGTGCAAAGAATTGAAGGTCAGGGTCATTCCTCGTGAAAAGGTTTAGGTCAAAGTCTGATTTCGGGCGTGCGGGAATTATTCGGTGGGCTTATGGAAATTATTGGGTTTTTTGGAAGGAAAAAATGGTGCATATTTTGGTTGCGCGTGATAGCTATTAGTACGATTATATTATTGGTTTAACTTCAATACCTTGATGGTAATATACAGGTATATCACTTGTGAAATACAAAACATAGCAAACATCATTTGGACATTTTAATCAAATAAATTATCAGTTTTCATGTAATCATTTGGGCTGTTCACTATAAATAAAGATACAATACATCTTTACTTATCAAAATCATTTACAGTAAATTGTCACGTGTCACTCGGGGAAAATTTTGAAATGAATAACTCACTCATAAATGAAGAATATTGATGGGGAAAAAAAAAAAAATCAAAGGAATGAGCTAAAATGAATGAATGAATAAATAAAACGTTTTATTATTTGATTATTTAACTCGTCTTGATTTCATGACTACGTATATCCGGATTATTTTAAAGAATTAATTTGAACAAGCAAGTTACTGTAAATATAATTAAAATTAATCGGAATAGATACAGTAACTTGACAATCCATTAACTATTATTTAGTTGATTAACGAAAAATTTTTTTAAAAAAATATATAATAGTCAAAATTGCTTTATTTAATTTAATGATTTTATTTTCTTAAAGATTTATTTAATTAAATGATTTTATTTTCTTAAAGATTTATTTAATTTAATGATTTTATTTTCTTAAAGAAAATCTTTTTCTTAATATAACGTGGGCGAACACATCTATGTGTAACAAACTTTCTTACGTTATGATTGATCTCGTGCTAAGCCACCCAGCAGAGATTTTTTACTAAAAATAAATGACATGGGGTGTTCTCCTTGCGTCACTCATGCGTCATCCCTACAGCACTATTTTACTATTTTTGAGTGAGTGAAATTTTCGTACTATAATAATTTATATTGTTTAAATAGTTTTTCGGATCTTATTTCTGGTATATAGACCATAAACCGAAAATCGAAGTTCGAAAATTGCGATTTAGCATTTAAATAAAAGGAAATTTGGAGTTTAAATAAAATTAATAGTTAAATAACAATGTTGGTTCCGCGAAACATTAATACGGCTCACGGCAATTTTGATAATTTTGCGATTTTCGCGATTAAGTCACGTTTTACATTTTTCCTCATAATCCGGAAATTCCACTCGAATGTAATGCCGCACAGGTGACGCACAAGTGCCGTAAGGGTGACGCATGAGCGGCACCCCATGTCATTTATTTTTGGTAAAAAATCTCTGCTAAGTCACCCCACACAGTTACGTTATTAAAAGGAATTTCTTTTTTTAGCTCATGCACTTACTAATAAAGTAATAATCTTACTAATAAAAGTAAAATATTGTTAATAATCTTACTAATAAAGTAATATTACTAATAATCGTATTAATCTGCGGAATCGCAACTTTATCTATTCCGCGATTCCCGCGATGCCCCAAAAGTCAACTGCTGATGAAGATCATCGGAGGCGACCTATTTATGATGTGTCTGCGGTATGTAATATTTGTAACACAACCTCTGTAATTATCGCCAATTGCAACATTTCGTCACCAAGATTTTTTTTTTTTTTGTGAATTATGGTCAAATCATTGTTTGTTACCGTTGGCTCAACGAGATTTGACCAGTTGATTGAACTTGTCGTGTCATCATCTTTTCTTAAAACATTAAGTTCTAGAGGATATGGAAAATTGAATATTCAATGTGGAATGAGTTTTAAAATCTATGATGCAGCAATTCGGTCTCTTCAAAATGAATGGAAAATCGAGATGGAAATAGTTGGTTATGAATTTAAACCCTCATTAAAGCAAGATATGGTTGAGTCCGATTTAATTATAAGTCACGCAGGTTAATAGAACCAAGAAATCCTTGAAGTGTCCGTTGCAAATTGTATTAATCTCGCAAATTTAGGCTCGGGTTCTATCTTGGAATCGCTGCGCCTGCACAAACCTTTAATCGTCGTGGTAAATGAAGCATTGATGGACAACCATCAAGCTGAGCTTGCTATCGAAATGCAAAATAAAGGATACCTCGTTTGTGGTCCCATAAGGTATAAAAATTTGGAGGAGAAATGAACGAACAAACAAACAAACAACAATAGCATCAATAAATACTGAAATTCTCTTTTCATTCGACTTATAATTAAACTTTAAGCAATCTCATGGAAATTCTTAATTCTGGCACATACAATAATTTAACCCCTTTCCCGGAACCCGATGTGACTATTTTTGCGGAGATCTTGAATGAAGAGATGAACTGATAATATCTCTCGGCGTTGTTGGTCATCTGGAGTAAATCATTATATAGGGAGGCAAAGAGTAAATCTGCGATTCCGCATCCAGCATCATTGGATGAATGTATTCTATGTATCCTCCAAAGCATTCGCACACGATTGGGCAAATCAAATTTAATAAACTTTCAATCTCTACGGAGCCTAGTTTTCTCTAACATGATTGAATTCTCATGTGTTAAACTATAATAATAATTGTCGAATTTACAGTTTATGAGCATCCACAAGCAAGTTCTATGCAAGTGAGTTTAATCGCATAACATGAATTTAATTGTGTTAACCAATTTCGGATGATTTTTCTACTAAAAAAATCGATCTCGAAATGCAATACAGTATATAGATTTCTTTACAACAAATTATTATTCTTAAAATGGTTTACTATTAAGAATAAACTTATTATTATTTGATTATTGTATTTGTAAAATGCATCTCAGATCTCGTCTAATTTATTATGCCAAACGACAATTTTATAATTAACAAAATCTCATCGCATTTTATTGAACGTGAGGAAAATTTTTTCTGAATGCATAGAATCTGGTAGGATATATAGTTAAAATAAAAAATTTCTTAATATTATATACCATACATGTAATTCAAAATCCAAGTAAAGTTTAAATCTAATAATTTCTTAATTTAATAAAAAATAAAAATATTAGATTGTTTTTTTTTTTTTTAATATCCACAACTAGATTAGATAGTAGATGATTAATATTAAGAAGACTAAAATATATATTTATCAAAATAAAATAAAAAATAAATAGCTAAATATTTATATTATATCCAACAAACTTATTATAAATTTAAAAAATCTTTAAATTTGATTTTAAAAACAATATTATACTCTGATATAAACTTTGCATAAAGATTCTATTAATTTCTACTATCATTACTAGCAATTTGTTGCTACTACACATTCTATTAAACTATTGATTAACTGAAAACTATAAAAGAAAAAAAAAGATATAAAAAAAAAATAAATAAAAATAAAAATTCAATTATTTCAAAAAATTCAACTTTTTATATCTTTTTATAATAAGATAAACTTTTTTATGATATTTTTTTTTTTTAACTATATGAAAAACTTGTATTTTAATAGTTTCATTTTTGCCATTATTTGAATTATATCTATTTAATCTATATCATTTGGTTTTATATTTGGTTACTTAGGATTTTTCAATCAATATTACTCAAGAACATATTATTTTAATCATTACTAAACTAAAAAAAAATTAATTATAAAAATTTCATTAATTTGGATAATAAAATAGTAAAATTTTATCTAAAAAAAATAATAATTTGAAAATATAAGTTTCAAATTTTGTTAATTTTATAATCTTAAAGCTAAATAAATCTAATTGAAGAAAAGATAAGAATTAGAAAATTAATTAACTTTTTTTTTTTATCAATAATATTATTAAAATATATAATATAATCAATAAGGACTTGTTTAAATTCTATTATCAATATATTTCATTTTAGCTAATTGCTTTTAGCAAAAGCTATATCAAGTTTGTGTCACTTTAAAATTCTAGATCAAATTAAAATATGTAAAATTTCTTAAAAATTTTAAAAAATAAAAAACTTTAAGAAAATAAAATAATAAATAAAAAAGTTTTTGATTTAGACTTATATTCATTTATGTATTTACTGTATAAAATTTTTAATTACACTCTTATTTCAGAAAATATATTTTTAATATTTTATCATTAATTTTTTTTTTTTTGAAATTTTCTTGCTATAAATAAAAAAAGTGTTTTTTGATTTTTTTTTGATTATTAAAAGTCAAGTTTTTGTTTGAAAAAAAATATAAACAAAGAAATTGAGAGGAACTCTTGAAATTATTCTTTAAATTGTTTTAAAATAATAAAACTTTATTAATATTAAAAATATAAAACTTTTTATAAATGTTTTTTTTTATATATTATTAAAGAATTAATAGAAAAAGTTATTATAATAATATTATATTGTATAAATATTATTTATATTTTAATATTATAATTATTCTTTTTTAAAAACTTACTAGAAAATAATTTTCTATAAATTTATTTATTTATTTTTTTTTAATCCTAAGTTAAGCTAAATAATGTATACTTTATTAAACATTTGTATACTTTATATTATTGATATTTTACTAAAGCTAAATTTCTACCTAACTCACTCATCTCTATTTTAAATTTCTTAAAACTCTAAGTACAACTTCAGAAGTTATTTATTGCTTCATTAGTAGTTTAGGTATAAACCCTTTCAATTGCTAACTTTATTGCCTACAGATCACTACTGCAAATCACCCATTAATGTTCTAACCAAACTTAAAATCCCAACCACTTCATTTTATATTTTACTCCTTTTATAAGAATCTTCTTGAGACTTTCATCTTCTGGTTTTCTTTCTTCTAGTAGTAGTTCTTTTCTTGTTAAGAATATAGTTTTCTGGTCTAGAAAAATTGGAGGTTTTCTTGTCTTGTCTTTTTACTGATTCCCTGATCTTGTTTCCATTCAATAATCTTTTCATATCTTGTGTTTCAAATTCTTTTTTGAACTTGATTCTAAACTCTTTTTTGCATTTTTATTATCTATTTTCTAACATATTTTTCTATGTATTTATTATGACATTTTAGATTTGCCATTTCTAAAATAAGGTTCTTTTTTATAAGGTCAGCACAAAAACTTAGAG